TTGTTTGAGCCTACTGGAGTTGAGTGTCTCAGCTACAAAACATTAAATTTAGCATTTCCCTCTGACACCATTCTTCAAAGTGAGGGCCAGAGGACGAGATGGAGCTGCCGGAGAGGAACTACAAAGCCACGTAAACATCAAGGATGGGCAAAATAGATTCCTTTCATTCTATGTGTGAACTGCGTTCAGGGTGTCAGAAGGATTAAAGATAAAAAAAGGAAGAACCAAGGAAGCGTCCGTGGGAGCCAGCGTGGCTTTAGGCTGCTTTTTAAAGAAAGCCTCTCCCAATTAGGGTTTCCAAATATAATCCCTCTGCCGTTCGCCAGAGCCCAGTACCTAGACAGCCACCTTCCAAAAATAAGAGAAATAAAGTCCATCTGCTTTCTGATGAATCACAAACACATGTCATCGCTGGCTTTGCTTCTGTTTGGAGACGGGATCAAGTCATGGAGATTTCTATCAATAAATTCATTCTGCGCTTCTCCCTACACACGGAGAGGCTTTTTGCAAATGCTGGTGCCGCCTCCTACTTGGAAGGGCTGATGTCAGCCCCATAATAGCAACTGCTGTGGAGGTTTCTCCTACAGCATCCTGGCCATTCTTTGCTTGGCAATGAACAAGGACTGCTGTGGAGGTTTCTCCTACGTGGTGAACAGCATCCTGGCCATTCTTTGCTTGGCAATGAACAAGAACCCCAACAAAGCCAAGACCCCCTGATCCCTCTTCTCTAAGCTCCATGTCACGATCCCTCGGCTAGCGGAGGCCCTGTCAGCAGGACTATGGAATTTAGCAACACTGCAGCCTGTGAGGCTCGTCCAACTCCAGGCTCGATCGCTCGCCTTTGGAAATAAACATAAACAAGAAACCATGAACGTGCCGCTGGTGGCAGCCTTAATGAACAGGAGGTGACCAAACCTCACCAGGCAATTACTTCCCCGTTCCTGAGCCGAGGCAGATGACAGGCGGGAGGTCTGTCTCCTATGCGCACCCTTCCGCCCGGTTCAGATGTGTCTCCATCGCTGGCCTGGCTTTGATGGCAAAAAGCAAAGGCACCTACGTGTTCTTTAAATAGATCTCTGCTCTGGCCGCCTTGACAGCGCGTGGTCAAAGGACACTAATGCGCTGTGGCATCTGCGAGAAGTCACGGAAGTTTTCCATGCGCTGACTTGCCCCTTTGTTGAGAGGAAAGGCCAGCAGGCGGGCGGGAGCCAATCTGACCAGGGGATCTGAACCTGAGAACTGCACTGAGCTGATGCCCAGCGACGACGAGGAGGATTCCAATCAATCACAATGATACTATTAATGATCACGGCAGCGGCCACGGCCGCGGCTGGGATTTGCTGAGCATCTCCTGCAAGCCTGGCTCCAATCACGGCTGCCTGTGCACCATCTCACTGAATCCTCACAAGAAATCTAAGAAGTAAGGGCTGATGTGATCTCTGCATAACGAGCTGAGTGTGGCTGACTGCAAAAACGGCCCTGATTCTGCCTTCCCCGGTACCCACAGCCCTTGCAATGGGCTCCACACTGTGACGTCCCTTTGCAGCTCTGTCCACCAAGAGGTGGTCAATTCCCCCCCCCACCCCCCCTGCTGTGTGCTGGCCGGGGCTTGCTCTGAACAATAGAATGCCAGGAGCCTGGACTTCAAGGGGCCTTGCGACCTCTGCTTCCTCTCCTGGTAAACAGCTGTTGGCTGCTGTGCAGGTTCCCTGGGCCGCGTGTGCCTCTGTGCCTGCCGGGCCCCGGCTGGTCGCCCGCCTAGGACAGTTCATCAGCTCTCCCTGTCGTTTCGCAGACGGCATAGAGCTGCAGCAGCCGAAGGAAGGAGGCTGGCTTAGTCCCTCAGGAAACGGCCACTGCGGTGCCCATCAATGCCTCTCCTGATACTCAGTGAGAACACAGACTAATCACTCCTTCGAGAAATGTCGGTGGAGAGCCTCCTCGCCGGGAGACACCACACTCGGGATCCACCTGTGGGGGGGCGGGCACCAGGGGCCTGTCCTCAGGGGATGAGGACATAAACATGGGATGGAGGGTCAGGTCACTCACAGAATAAGGGGAAAGAGAAAGGCATTGTGATTGTGGAGGGAGAGGAAGAGAGAGTTTCTAACAGGGACCTCCAAAACGAGTGACACTTGGACCTGAGGGATGAGTAGGGAAATGGCCCGGTTGTGTGTGGTATGCGTGTGCGTGTGTGTGTGTGTGTGTGTGTGTGCGTGTGTGTGTGTGCATGTGTGTTTACACGCACGCACATGAGACGGGGGCTTAGTGTTCCAAACAGAAGACACAGCAGACCCTGAGTGAGGCCGGAAGGACTTTTTAAAGCAAAGGTGACTGAGACAAAAAGTTGTTCAAGTCCGACTATAGCCATTGTTTCCAGGACCCAGCAAGGCAGCGAGGCTTTGCACTGGGGATGGTAGAGCCCCCGCAAGGGGAGCTTAGAAAGGTGAGTGAGGCCATTTTCAGCATCGCGGCGACTGGAAGCTCCTGCCGGAGTGTCTGGGGCCAAGGAGTCTGACAGGGCAGCCCCCCAGAAAGTAGACACATCTGCCCTGCGAGTGACAGCTGCCCCTTGTGAAACAGTCCTCAGCAGCGCCTCCTGGAGGCCCAGCGAGAAGCTGTCTGCACATGGCAGGGGGCGAGGCGGGGTTGGGTGCCGGTTGTGGGGTGGGTTTGCATCAGAACATTTTTCTCTGAGGACGGGGCAGAGATGAAAGGGGAAGGGGAACTTTTCAAACCGTTAGACCCACACCCACAGTAAGATCCACGTTTCACATCACAACACGTCCACATACACAGGCGAACACAGATACGCGACTGAAGCAGGGGGTCCACGAGCAACACTTGCCTTTGTCACAAATGACATCCTCTGATATGTTCTAGTCTGTTCTCTGATGAATTCCACCCACTAAACTGGCTCCACAACTTACTAAATACATCTCACTTCTGGGTTTGAGAAATATTGCTGGAGACCTAACTAGAAGAACGTATTTTAAAGATAAAAAATGTGATAACACATCATGCTGATGGGCATGTGGGGAAATGAGCACACTCGTGTACTATTAGCGAGCGCGGGAATGAATGCGGCTCCATTAGTGGGCCATCTGGCAGCCCTTATCAATATTTAAATGCACGTGCCTCTGACTCAGCATTTCCACTTCCAGGAACGTCTTACAGATTTATCCACACGTGCTCAGGAATGGCCATAAAAAAATATTCGCTGCAGGATTTGTTTATGGTAACGGAAGACTGGAAACAATATAAATGTCCATCAATAGGAGACTGGTGAATTGAATCATGGGACATCCATCCTTATTATTATAGAACTAGAGGCCCAGTGCACGAATTTGTGCATGGGTGGGGTCCCTCAGCCTGGCCTGCGAATTAGGCTTTTAGATATATAGATACTAAGCAACCAGGAGGAGAAACAAGGCGAGTTTACACAAACTGGAATGGAACAAGGTCCAAGGCGTACTATATAGTTGGAAAAGCAAGGACGGTATGCTGAGGGCTGATTGGAGGGGGTTGGCCAGCTTAGGATTTTATATATAGAGATACTAAGCAACCAGGAGAAGAAACAAGGCGAGTTTACGCGAACTGGAATGGAACAAGGTCCAAGGTGTACTATATAGTTGGAAAAGCAAGGACGGTATGCTGATAATTGTTAAGGTGAACAATGCATACAGAGGGATGCATCTTTATTTCTGTATATGTTTGGGTTTTTCCACAGTTAAACAATTAAAAAGACAAATGCCCGGACTATGTTGGGAAAGACACCATTTCTGTTAAAGCCAATTTGCTTTAACAGGCGAGAGGATATATAAGAGACTGTAAGCGGTGAGTGTCTCTGGCGAGATAACAGATGTGGGAGGGAGGAGCTTAACCTGCTATCCATTCCTACCTTATAATTTGTCACCACGTGTAGTGTTGATCTATGTGTGTGTGGAAAATTAAAAATAAGATAGAAATGTAAAATTCAAAAAAAAATAAGATAGAAAATTAAAAATAAGATAGAAATAGGAACCTCCCCGAGGATAAACACCTTTTTATCTAAAGTCAAAAGAATCCAAGTTATACCTGAAAACAACAAACAAACCAATTCATGAAGAAGAATGTACTCCAAGGTTGACCCCACCTTCACCCCCAAGCACACCACGACCTTTGGGGGTTTTCTGAGCTACCAAGCGAAAGTGGAATTGTGTTCAATTATATTTTTCCGACAAATTGTTATTTCTTTGAATTGACACAGAACGAAGACTGGGCCCCAGGGGACCCTCATTATACGCAGGTTACACTGAAAATGATTTCAAGTTTAACTTGTTCAATCCCCTCCCTTTAAGAATGACAGGACTGTGGTGGAGCCATTCTAGTCTCAAGGTCTATCTGAGAGAGGAGCCTGGGCGTCATGTGATTAAATGGGGCGCCTCAGCTCAGAGCCTCTTTGGGGTGGCTGCCAACGTCTGAGCCAGGCTGCAGTGGCCGCTGCGCCGCGCGCATCCACGCTGCCCGGACACGGGCCAGCTGGTCCAGCCCGGTGTGACTCAGCACTGGAAACATGTGCTTCTTTAAATAGATGCTGCTCTCCACTGGCTCTCGGGGCTGATGGATGACTTACCGGTCATGGGAGGGAGGTATCCAGGGGCTTGCAGGGCTGCTGTGCTGGAGAGCAGCAGAGGGACACAGTGGGCACTGGAGGAAGGGTGTTGGTGGCTGTGACCCTGCCGGAGAATTCAGAGAGCGATCGAGTGAGACACCCCCCGGGCACAAGATGCTAGTCAACAGCAGGGCAGGTAGAAACAACCATTGTCTCTAAGATCGTGAGAACTGGTGCTAAGCCCACTCTGGCTGAAAGCAAGGCAGGTGTGTGGTTCATGGAAGGTCCACCAGGTGAGGCTGGTACACCTTCCATCCAGGTGGGAGCCGAGCTTCACCTCCTTAACAGTCACACTCAGATGTCAACCTGCCACCTGCTCATCTCCTGTTGAAAGTACAGAGGTCCGCTCCCGACCACCCATCTCAGAGAAGAAATGAGGTCTCCTGAGCCCTTGGAAGCACACGACCCCACCCTGCTCCAGCCCCACTGAGCATCCACGCAGGACCAAGGCAGGCCTCCGGACACTCTCAGCTCTTGGCTGCAGAAGGCTGCTTCCTTGGGCCTCAATACCGCTGCCTCTTGGAGAGCTGTCCACCGGAGCTGGTACTGAAATGTGAGGTCCTGGGCTTTTTATCAAAGAGCACAGTGAACAGCCACAGCCAGGCCCCGTCCATTCTTGCTTCTGCTGGGTTTTATTTGGGATGTTGAACCAGGGTATTCAGAGCCCCGCATTTAAATTCATTTCATGTCATTCATTTGTTTATTCAGCAAAGGTGCATGAGGGAATCAATAAAAAGACAACCTAATGGAAATATGGTTCAAGGGTAATGAATAGACAGGTGGTAGGAAAGAAAACGTAAATGACTCTTAAGCATTTGCAAAGATGCTCAGATCTCGCTCCAAAAAGAGAAATGCAAATTAAAGCAACACTGAGATGCCATTTCCCCCGGCAGATTGGCAAAAATCCAAAAGGCTGATAGCAGGCTTTGTTGGCGAGGCTGTGGGGAAAGGTATTCTCAAGCCCTGCTGGTGGCAGGCCTCCTACGGTGCATAATTTGACAACATCTATCAAAATTATAAATGCTGCAGATATGCTTTGACACAGCAATTCTTCTGGAAATGTATCCTATAGAGGTGTTTGGACCTGTGCAAAATGATCTATGTGCAAGGTTATTCACCGCAGAATTGTAAGAACAAAATATTAAGAACAATCCAGATGCCTTTGAATAGAAGACTAGTTCAATGAATTAGGGTATATCCAAGCAATGATAGTCTATGTAGGTTTTTTAAACAAATGAGATATCTCTCTCTTCCCTGATATAGGTAATATATTGGCAAATAAATAGGCAATCGCCGGGTGGCTCGGTTGGGTGTAGGTTTGATCCCCAGTTGGGGCTCATTTGGGAGGTAACCAATCTCTCAATCTCTCTCTCTTTCTCTCCCTCTCTCTCTCTCCCTCCCTTCCTCTCTCTAAAAATCAATGAAGCTCAACTGGGGGAATTTTTTAAATTCATATTGCTTACATGAGTGATCTTCTTCCTGAATTGAATTTATGCCCTTATTTTTTGTTGTTGTTATTGATTCTGAATCTCTATTTCTTTCTTTCTTTCCTTCTTTCTTTCTTTTTTGTCATTGGCTTATGGTGTGTGATCTTATAAGGTGTTCAGATAAGGTTATTATTATGCTTCAGGCACTAAGGTGGAACATAATATTTAATGCTCCACCTTAGTGCCTGGAGCATAATAACAATTAGAGATAAAACATTATTTAATGTTTTATCTCTAATTGTTCAAAAAAATACACAGAGAAGAGGCATCATGATGCTCGCTTCATAGATAACAGACTGAGACTCGGAGATGTGAGCCGCTTGTCTGGAGTCACACAGCAGTAACTCGCCAGCCTGGTGTATTAGTTTCCCGGTGCAGCTGTAACAAGTTGCCACAAACTTAGTGACTTAAGACAATGCAGGTTTATTATCTCACAGGCCCGAAGGTCAGATGTCCAAACCGGTGGTCAGAGTTTTCTGGAGATTCCAGTGTAATCACCTCCTTTTCCTTTCCAGCTTCTAGAAGCTGCCCACATTCCTTGGCTCATGGCCCCACACAGCCTCTGCTCCCACTGTCTCATCTTCTACTCACTTTGACCCTCCTGCTCCCCTGGTATAAGTACCCTAATGATTACATTCCCTTCCCGCCCCCCCAAAAAAAAATCCAGCATAATCTTCCCCAGGCTAATCTATCCCCTCATCACGGGCTCTTTTCACTGATCTTTGCTGCCTCCATGAAATGTGGGATTTCCTTCTGTGGAATCACTAACCCCAGAACCTTCCTGGGTCTATGGAGAGAGAGGAACATGCTTCTCTGCAGACTGCACGAGACATAGGAATACGTGATGCTCTTCCAACAAGACATTTCCCCACTCGCCGTTGCAGCTGGGAGGGCTGTTTGTAAGGCAGGGCACCTAGGCATGTCCCCACCACCGTGGCTGTGACCAGGTGAGGCGCTGAGAAGTGGCTAACCTGCTTTTCTGCATTATTAGTTGTTTCCTTGGTTGTTACTTCCTCCACTAGAATGTCAGCCTCAGCGTGGGGGCCACAGCCATCAATTCCCGACCGTATCCCAGAGCCCAAGAGCCCAGAGCAGAGCTGGCATCCCTCTGATAAATGCAAACCCCCAAGGTGCCCGGTGGAGTGGATACGGTTTCACTGGGTACAAAACCGGCCGATGAGGAAGGGAGCCAGGTGGGCTCTGCCCAGAACCCCTCACCTTTGGGAGGGGGTGGTGTGGAGGCGAGGTCCCTGGTCAGGACCGTAAGGGGGGGAGCAGGAGCAGGCGGATGTCGGCCTCGCTGTGCCCTTCTGAGAACAGAGAGCCCATCTCCTGAGCATCCTCCGCGAAGCACTCTGAATCGATCGCGCTTGGACATCAATAACAATCCACCTGTGAAAAAGTCTCCCACAAGGACACCAAGATAGATGCACAAGGAGATTCGCTGCACTGTTTGTAACAGCAAAGGAATTGGACATGACCCAGATGTCCATCAGAAGGAGTTTGGGGAAATAAATGATCATACGGTTACAATGATGGAGTGCGAGGCGGCTATTAGATGGGCAAAGATACCCAAGATCTATTGCTAAATGAAAAAAGTGACTTGTAGAAAAGTCCATAAAGTATGGTCCTATGTTTGTTTGTTTTTTTAAAAAACAGTATATATCAAAACTCATCAAACTGCAGTAATTACAATGATGGAGTGCGAGGCGGCTATTAAGATGGGCAAAGATACCCAAGATATATTGCTAAATGAAAAAAGTGACTTGCAGGAAAGTCTATAAAGTATGGTCCTATGTTTGTTTGTTTTAAAAAAAAAAACAGTATATATCAAAACTCATCAAACTGCAGTAACCTGTGCATTTTTTGTATAGAAATTATCAATAAAGAAAAAACAATATATCTATGCATCCTAATTCTTTGATTTTTAAGAGCCAAATATCTTCCAATTATTTTGAAATGAAGACCTGCCTTCTATAATGCCTTCTTTGCTAAGAGGCTGTTACGTCAAAAGAGTAGCTTACCAGTGCTGGCGATTTGGAATAGAAGAAATACGAGAGGTATATGTTAGCGTATACGTACATAGGAAGTAAACACAGTAGGTAAGTATGTGCATAGAAAAGCTAAAAATACACACATTTTGAATGTGGGAGTGACATAGTGGAGAGGGGAAGCTGCAGGGACTGAGTAGTATATTTCTATAATTGATTTTTTTTACGAGGGGCACGTGTTACTTTAGTAACGAGGAACAAGTTAAGGTTAAAGGAAACCCTTTCTGGGGCCTTTGTCTTCCGTGGGGAGGAGTGAAAGCCACCTTGTATGCAGGAAAACGAGGGGCACGAGTCAATCTTACAGGTTGAGAGAACTGAACCTCATTTGTATTTTTAAAATAGAAAAAATTTACCCATAGACACAGAAATCAAGCTATGGCTGCCAAAGGGAGGGGGTGGGGGATGAGAATAAACTTTAAAAACTAAAAAAAAAAATTGAAATTAAATAAAACACACAAAATAATAATTTTTCCTTTCTAGACATACTCAAATAAATAAACAAATGGTGTTTCACTCTGGGAGAAATGAAACATTAAAAACAAAAATCCCGCCAAAACCGGTTTGGCTCAGTGGATAGAGCGTCAGCCTGCGGACTGAACGGTCCCAGGTTTGATTCCGGTCAAGGGCATGTACCTTGGTTGTGGGCACATCCCCAGTAGGGAGTGTGCAGGAGGCAGCTGATCGATGTTTCTCTCTCGTCGATGTTTCTAACTCTCTATCTCTCTCCCTTCCTCTCTTTAAAAAATCAATAAAATATTTTTTTAAAAAATCCCTAGAGCCTGCAGGGTGGCTCAGTTGGTTGGAGCTCATTCCATACACCAAAAGGTTGTGGGTTCGATCCCTGGTCAGGGCCAGTATGGGAGGCAACTGATCAATGTTCCTCTCTCTCAAATCAATAAAAACATACCCTCAGGTGAGGATTTTAAAAAAAAAACACGCTAGAAATGGTGATTATATTGTTTACATAATGATAATGGCTCCTGGAATGATTTACGATGACAAGGTCAAAAAAATAAATAAAATAAATTTTGTTAAAATGTGTTTTCTGATTATAAAAGTCACCTGTGCTCATTGTGTAACTAAACACCTAACCAACATGGAAAACAGGCACTGAAAATGAACCATAATCCCACACTCTACCCCAAAGAGAGCAAACCTTAATGTTAAGATGCATGCATCCTTGCATATAAGCATAACCAATGGACACATGACACTGGGGGGTAGGGGAGGCCGGAGGAAGGTCAAGGGGGAATTAAAAAAAAGGAGACATATGTAATACTCTTGGTAATACTTTAAGCAATAAAACAAAATTAAAAAAAAAAAGATGCATGCATCTTTTTACTTTCAAAAGCATCACCCATCTCAGTATGCTGCTGAAAAATCCAACTTCATCCCATTTAATGTGTAAAGAATATCACACTACAATATGCATCATCATTTCAATGACCCAATACATCACATCATTTCACCTTAATGGCTATACGAGAGACCTTACCATTGAGCATGTACGTTGTTTCCCTGTTCCC